TAGCTTTATTATTATAAATTTTTTATTTATAATCTATATACGTATATTTAAATATTTATGATAAATATATATATATATATATATATGTGTGCGTGTGTACGTTTTGGGTGTTCAATATTTATGTTGTTAATCTTAAGTAGTAGTATCTTTCAGTTACGGTTTTTATACTTAATTCTTCAAGAAAAAAGGACTTTTTTTACTCTTTTATATAACGACTTGTAACTACATCTGGTGTTGTTTGACCTGGTACGCTTTCAACAAAAAAAAACCAAAAAAAAAAAAATAAACGGCTTCATCCGAAAATTATTTATTTATTTTTTTTTTAAATCTGCAATTTTAATAATATTTATATACATGTAAATATATATATAGCATGTTTATAAATTATAATTATATTTAATTATATACACATATGTACATATTTTATAAAAATATCAATAGTTTCTAATAATTTTTATATCAATTATTTGAAATACCATTTCTACTAATTACCTTATAATATCTCTTTTGTTGTTTTTTTTTTTTTTTTTTTTTTTTTTTAATCAATTTCTTCTAGGAATCGCATATATGTCGAAAGGCACGTTTTCTTAAACGTAATAAACGTACCGCTTCCCTTCGAGCTGAACAGTTGCGTTTAATGCATGAGCGTAAATCGTTAACATCGAACACAAGTATTGGCAGTGGAAGTCCGTCCACCGTGAATGATAATACATCGGAAAATTCAGTTATAAGTGCCTCATTGCAATTATCGCTTAACAATATTATTGCGAATAATGCTGGTACAAGCACTAATACCGTAACAGAAGCAGCGACCTCTCCAATATCCTTGTGGAACAAACGTCCCCCGGAGCGTATTGGCAGCGCTTTGGTCTGTTCGAGTGGTGAGAAATATTTCATAAACGATCGCGATGAAATTAAATTGAATTCTTCCGGACGTCAAGTTTTCGTTATTAATAAGAATCTCAAATTCTTTAAATTGGATTCGGTGCGAAAGGCTAAAGTGGTAAGTTTTTTATTTTAATTTTAGTATGGAAAAAGCATATAGATCTGTAGTAAAGCTTATAGTATTCGAGGCGGTCAAACGAGTCTAGTATCTAAGTGATATCTATATTGATCGTGTCATGACTGCCTCAAGAAAACGTACTCATATTGTGCACCTATTTCACCCGCTATTCTTTTTCTCTTTTAAATCTGGTATCACGGATGTTAGGCGGCCCCGAAGCAATCTTGCAATTTCGGCCTGTGCAGCAGCGACGGCCCGTTGCGGGAGTTTCATTAAATATTTGAGGTGTTAGATAGGCCTTGCCATAGTCAGAGGCAAGGGCATGCCGTGTGCCAACCAGGGCCGTAGAGTTAAGCCTTCACGACAACTACCTACGTAATAAGCCTGTGCACTTGTTACACTTCGAGCCGATGGCCTTTGATGCTAATGCTCTTTTTCTTTCTATTGCATTACAGTTAACAAGACTGGGAAAATTGGTAGATATTAAGTTTGGGCGAATATTTGTAACATATGGAGGAAATAAATGGATTTATTTAGAATCAGTTTTTAAGCCGATTATGAAGCTTGATTTGCCCCTATGGCTGCCTTAGCGCTTTATGTCTACCCATATATATCTGCATTCAACTTAAAGGTCGCGAATTTATGGGATATTTTGACGACAATTCGATAGATTCGATTCACGATTCACAATTCACAATTTTTTCGAGTGAAAATTTGGTAAAAACACAAGTTACTACATTTGTCCGTCCCTCGATCAATTACCTATGGTAATCATTCTCAAATGCGGAAATATGGGCTTCAAACTCGGCAAAAAATATTAGAAATTATTACACTTACCCGTCCGTCTGTTAATGCCAGTAGCGAACACCATTCTGGTCGCAAAAACGAAAATATCGGCTTGAAACTCGGCGAAAAT